AAAGATGAAGCACGTCACAGAAGTTCTTCTCCTTTGTAAACGGTGTGTGACCTCGGAATTACACCTCCTCTCGGAAGTTGGACCTTCCCGACCGACGTGACGAACGAGCATGATGTGACGAACTGGCATAACTCACTTGCCCCTACCGACGTCACGATACCGACGTCATGATACTTCCGACTACCCATGATTTTCCAACACAACCGACTTTCGATTTCTTAAAATCTCACCATGATCTGCCGACACCACAACCCACCTCGATCCAGCTCGGGGGTAACCAAGTTCACCAATATCCAAGCAGGTGACAAGGCGCCTGCGCAACCTCCTTGCCTCTCACACCCAACATCATGATGAACGTGGTCCCAGCTGATCAAACCGCCCATTTAAAGCTACTTTTCGAACGAATTACAGATGATTGGAAATCTCGAACAATGTGTAAAAAAGGTTACTATATATAGTTTAACGTTCCCTCAATGGGGGCGAGGGGGCATTCTGTATTATGATCGCTTCAGTTATAACCCACCGACCACACAATATTTTAGTGAAATTCTCACATTATCTTCGCTTACCGTTTTAATTCGAGTATTTACTATGTTAATGATGTTGTTACAAATCCATACGACAACACTTACATATTGACAATCTGTATTACAACAATAATGTATTATGAATCGTATTACATGTTAATTCTATGTATTTTATAAAAAATATTATTTAATATTATTTATTTGTGCATCGCACAAGATCATACTAGTATATCTATAAAAAGATTAATATTTACTAAAAATAGCTGAAAAAATCCGCCTACATTAAATGCAAACTTATTTCAGAAATTATTTAAATATATTTCAATCAAAACTAGTGAGCATCCCGTGAGGTGCATGGCAGGCATGTTTCTTAATTTTTTTTAAACTTTTTTTAGCAATATATATCTCGCTAACCATTTATATTATTAGAAAATAATATTTTAACATCTAAATTTATTTTATGATATAGAAAAATAATAATTTTACTTATTTTTGTTCATCATAATACTCAACTACTACTTTTTTTCTAAAATATTGTTATATAATGTCATTATTATTATTATTTATTATTATTCTTATTATTATTATTTAAACTAAAAGTAGTATTCTTTATATATATACTACTAAATATTTAATATAAATTAATATTATTTAATATTAAATAAATATTGTTTCATATATGCATTCTATTCATATTTAGAATTTTTTTCTATCTCATAATAACTAAAAACACACACACACACACATATAATTTTATGACATTATTATTAAATATGTTAAGCCTAAAACTGAAATTAGTAATTAGGCAGTATTATCGGTGAATTTTACCGTAGAAGTTTTTTTAGAGTATTGAATTTTGTAATAGAAGATATTAACTCAAAATTTTGTGTTAGATTTATCTGAAATCAATTAACTATCTACGATTTTTAATGTAGCCAAAATAATGGATAAAATTCAAAATTTTAAAAGGTCGTAGCTAGATAAATTTTGACAACCAATTACGTGTGATTATTTCGAAAAGTTAACTAAATTTTAGAGGATTGTGTAGTCGGGATTTTTCAAGAATTTATCAAATAAAATGATTTAAACAATCCATATAAATTAGATTCTTTTTAAACTGTAAGGAGGTATGAAAATGTTAACAAAATTTTTCACACGATTGTATAGTAGGGATTTAAAATAAAATAATACATATGTATAAATCCTAAAAAAAATATGAATAGTTAGATAGTAGTAATTGTGAATTTTATGATAAAAAATTTCTAATTAGAGTATTAAATTTTATGATAAAAGATATCCTCAAGATATTGTATTTGTTTTTTTTAAAAACTAAGTTAATAACTTACAATAGTTGATGTACAAAAAATGATAGAAAAAATCCCAATTTTAAAAAGGTGGCATTTTCGTGTGATTTTTTGGAAAAATTAACAAAATTTTACCTACAAAAATAATTTAAACAATCCATATAAATTTGGATTCTTTCTAAATTGTACTTTGGTTTACTTACAAACTGTTATAAGGTGTTGTAATTAAATAAATATGTACACTCGTGTGATTTTTTGGAAGAAATTGTTTCATCATTTATATAGGCGGGATTTTTACCCAAAAAAAAAAATCATTCAATTATGAATCGAGATTTAAAATTTAGAATAAAAATTATCTATAATATTACCGTAATTAATTATATATGTTACCAGCAACAATAAATTAATTATCATATATATTAAACAATTAATATGCACATCACCTAAATAAATATTAAGCATATTAAATAAATAATAACAATAAGCATATGAAATTTATTATATAATAATAAGTTAATGACGTAAGAATATTTACTTGGTTTAAAATTTTTAGTTATAGGTTGTTACATAAATATAAAAAAATTATTGTAAATTAATCATTTACTTAAAAAATCAAATCCAATTGATTTAGTATAATATTTTAAAAATCATATGCATATTATCGATATTCATATTGATTTAAATATTGGTATTATTATTATTATTATTGATTTGTATTGGCTTTTAATTCAATATAGATTTATATATATAAGTGATTGTTAGCCACGATTCTTGGGATTGCAGGGTCATTTTCTGTTCAAAATCATTTTAAGTTATTTGATATATATTTATGTTAGAATTAGTAAATTAAATTTCCTATATTAGCTCTACCAAATATTGTAGCCGAAATTAAAGAAGATACTCCTTTAATTTTCCTACACTTATGGTAACAAATCTCTATGATCAATATTTATTATTACCGAGATTTTTAAAATTTTGAGTCTTTGATGGTTAGATAAATATGGTAACAACTAATTACCACTTTAGATGACATGACTTTTTTGGTAATGATTTGCAATATTTTGACAATAATCTTCAATTTGAAATTTAAAATTTTTTTAAGTTCAATTCGAAATTTCATTCAGTCGTCATTTTAAAAATAAACTACAAAGAATAATAACTTTAAAAAATTTTAAGCGGAAAATTTAATACTTTTAATAAGTAAACCCCTCTCTCTATTATACAGTAATAGATTTAAATATTGTTTAAATAAAAATATGATAAATCATTAATTGGATGTTTTTTTCAAAAAATTTCGCAAAAATGTCCTACAAAAAGGAAAAAAGATACGCAATAATTAAAAATACTGTCAAATTGCATAAATCACTACAAATTCATGGGCAATATTTTTTGGTTTGGTTTCTGAAAATAAGTTTATCATTTTTCAAATATATTTTCATTTTGAAATTTATTTGAAAATGTATCAAAGGATATGAATATCACATTAAATCTAATTCATTTTTAATTTTATGCTTAAATTATATATTAAATCAAATAAAATTTATTAGCCATATACTACCCATGCATATACAACATTCCAACTAATTTTTCAAGTATATTTTATTCATACAAGCATTTTTATATTTTATATTATTCATACGAATTTACATATTTATAATATTTTTTTCATGATGCGGACAATTTTATTTTAATTAATGCACTATAAACACATAACCCAATACATATTTGTTTATTTTACCACTTGTAATATAATTTACGGACTAGGAAACCATTAGGATACAAAATCCATAAAGTTGTCCTAGGAATCTTGTAGAGATTTTTTTAAATATTGTGGTTTTTCATCACATTGGTGATTACCATTATTACGGGCTCGTGGTTTTAATCCGCGAAGTCTAAAATTATCATCACTCACATCCTTTTCCATTTTTTACTCCCTTTGACAATGTTCATTTTACAATTTGAGACAGAATTTGTGTGACTAATCTGTTGCAATCAAAATTTTTGAATGAGATGTTAATTCGATGTTTTTGACAGTAAAAACTAAAAGAAACAAGCGACCTCATCTTGTGTGAAGTAAAAATTAGTATAAAAAATCATTTTCATCCATGCTCAAGTTTCTTGTTTTCTTTCTGTATTTCTCTCAAGTTTTCTTTATTTTTAATTCCATATTGGTTACTCATATGGTCATATAATTGTGTTAATATGAGGGCATATATGTGCATCTAATATTACATGATTTATAAATTATGTGGAATCAATTTCTTGATGAAAGAAAAACTTAATGGCAAAATGATTGCGAAGACCCTTAAGATTAGGGTCTCATAATGTAAATAAAATACTTTATTGCGTATTGAAATTAACTTAAGAGAAAATATGGAAGGCAAATTTGAAAAAAAAATAAAAAAATGAAATAAATCACAATGGTCAAGTGGGTGGAGTAGGTATTGACCAAAAAAAAAATATTTATATATATTTTCTAACCGCGATATGAATTGAGATTGAAATTTAATATTAAATAATCTTAAATTTCTTTTCTACATCATCATTAATTAGACTTATTAGCATAGTTTAAAAATAAAAATAAGAAAAAAAAAAATCCTGGCCAGGGCTTAAAATTCATAGGTCCTCTGTTCTAGTAAACGATAAGGATAGAATACATACTGGAAAATTGAGCAATGTTACATTGAGTAAATAATTTACTTTGGAGACGATATGGAAATCAATTTCATGACATTTTAAGGTAATTTGGAATATGTTGATTGTTGAAAGCAAGATTTTCCAAATCTTAGGTTCAGTACCATTAGAATCCCCAATATCTATCACATGAGTCATGGTCAAGTATTTAGCAAGATTTGTTCAAATGAACTCTCCTCCAAATATCATCACATGTGCACTCACAAATTCATTATTTTTAAGCCATCACTCTCAATTTAGTATTATTATACTAAACACTATTAAATTGCCAACTAGTTACTCCATAATAATCAAATTAAGCTTTAACTAACGCAGATGAAGACAAAATGATCATCCACTGAATCAAAGCTGTATAAATACTCACACCTTAACTCATCCATTTCAAACAGGATCAGTGCTCTCCATTCTTCCCTGCTACCTTCAACTAAGTTCACTTCAAAGGTTAAAAGTTTAGACTAAAAGAAAAAGAAAGAAAATGAGTTCGAAAAGGGTTCCCAAAGAGAGCAAGTCGACAAGGTTCGTGTACGGGCCAATTCGGGCCGCAGCCCGAGCCTGGGATTCATATGTAAATTCCCTTGCGGGCCTGACCTGGCCCGTAACCCACGCCAGCACCATGGGCTCCCCCATGCCGCATTTCTCAAGCGTTGATAGTGCAGATCACAGAAGCGTTGACGAGGAATTGAGGGCTGTGATGAGACTCGCCAACACCGGCAGCCTTGCTGTAAAATCCGGGCGGCGGCGAAAGCAATTTGTGGTGCCTCTGGGCGGCAACTCGGTTGCCTTTGGGAGGATTGATGAGGACAGAGAGTGCTGAGTGTATGTGAAATTTTCGCCAACATAGATGGCTCGACTTATGGAGCCATCTATAGTTATTCAATCATATACAACAAACAAATTATTTTTTTTTTATCCTAACTCTACAAGACAATCTTGTTATTCATGATAAAAATTATCTAATCTCATCCACCCTAACAAATATGCTGTAAGGGTATTGCAGTAATTTCTTACACTTAAACATTGGGCCCGTGCCACCACACACCAACTCACATGTGGGCCCCACCTAAAAAACCTCACTTCTCTCGCATCCTCTCTCTTTCTTTCTCTCTCTCTCTCTCTTTCTCATACACACATACACACGCACCTAGAGTGTTCACGGTCCGGATTGGTCCGGTTTTAACACAAACCATGACTAAACCGGACCTAACGGTTAATTTTTTTTCTTGTCCATAACCGGACCGATTTTATTTTTTAACCGGCCACAATCCGGACCGCATTGGACGGTCCGGTTTGGCGGTTAACCGGTTAAATCTAAAATTCTTGTTTTTGGCCTTCAATTTTTATATTTTTTCATTTTGGGCTCAATTTTTATTTTTCAATTTTGGGCCCAAAAGAGATTATTTAGGCCTAAAAATTAAGAAAAACAACAATAATGAAATTGAAGGGAAAAATAAGTCGAAAAAGGTCGGAGAACTGAGAAGCCTGGGAGTGGGAAGATGGGAAAAATTAGGGTTAACTCAAAAAATTAGGAAGAAAAGGTGGAAAAAACTAAAAATGAAAAAATGAAGGTGGGAAAAAGTGAAAAGTTATAGTGTCTTACAAAATTAAGTCAACAAAAAGGGCAAAAAGTGAAAGTGAATGTATTGTATTTGTCGGCCATAGTGAACGACTGAATGTATATATATATTTGTTATAGTTTTTTAATATTTACCGGTCCGGTCCGGTTAAACCGGCGGTTTGCCGCAGGTAATCCGTTAACCGGACCGATTATTCTGGATTTTTAAAAAAATTAACCACCGGATTTTTAAGGCTTTTTTAACTGACCATTTAACCGATCCGCGGTCCGGATTGACGGTTTTTTTCGGTTAAACCCCGTTCGTTCAAATTTCAAAGTTTCAGCCGCCCTCCGCCCTAGACGCACCTCCACACACCTCAGTCCGTTCACAGTTCCAGCCACACCTCCACCGACAGGGCTACACTTTCCAACTGTCACACCTCCGCCCGCTTCAGCCATCGACCTCACTCGTCTAGTCAATGATTCGCCCGTTCAGACTGCCACAATCGACGACATTTTAGCCGCCAGTCCACTGTCCATTGTCACTGCGTGTGAACCCAATCGGCTGCTGTAATTGTTTACGTAAAATCCAAAGTCAATGATTCTCTTGTTCAGACAGCCACAATCGACGACGTTTCAGCCGCCAATCCACCGTCCATTGTCACTGCATGCGAACCCGATCGACTACTGCAATTGTTTACGTAAAATCCAAATTGGGATCGTGGGGGTTTTTTTTTTATTAAAATTTGATAACTTTTAGAGACCTATTGGCAACTAAAAATTTTAATTTTATTTCAGTTTAGTTCATGGGGTAAATTTATAATTTCTAAGAATTGTAAAAAATAAAATTTATACATTTTTGATACATGCATATTAAAATGATATAAAAATATTAAATAAAAATTTACACTCTTAAATAATTGTTAATATTATAAATAATAAATTATTAAGGTTATGTAGATTAATTAAGTTAACCAATCGAATAAATCGAATATGTCGATTCAGTTTTTGTTTGGATTTGCACAAAATAAATAAATAAATAAATCACATCGCATAATGCACAATACTATTAAATGGAAGCACATTAGTGAACATCAATGTTAAATGAATTACACATTACTAAAATTGTCTAAAGTTGAAACGCACAAAAAAAAAAATAAAAGAACAAAAAATATTCCCTCTTAGATTGCACAAAAATGTTGTACTAACTGCACATTAGTGCATGTGGGAATGCACATTATCTTGTAAATGTACGCAATGATCACCAGGAAAAACCTCAATATTACGTTATTATGATATTGTGCATTATCACAGAAATTAATGTGCATTTCAATGAATAGCTCTAAGCGCGACAACATTTTGGTAAATTCGTGTCAACTTTTAAATGCGGCGGTACAATTCTTTAATTTCGTAACAATATACACGAATTTATTAATGTGCATGACCAAACGTAAAAATTTATGAATTTACTTTGTAAATTTGTAAAATTTAAATTGTTTAGACTATGACAATTCTATAACTTTGTATAAATATGACGGAAATTTTAAAGCACATATCTACACGCAATTTTTTTTCCCCGAAACGATAGAGATTTTATATATAAAACGCACAAAGTGCGAAAAGAAAACCAGCCAAAAGCAGAAGGATACAACCAAAGACTCAAAATACTGGGAGGACAGTTTCGAAGATCGCCTAGAGCCTAACCTAGCAACGCTAGAACAATATACTCACAACACCACACAAAAAGAGACTACTAACTCCCAAAAAAGAGACTAAACGATCCCAACAAGATAATGTCTGCTCTCATCTGGGCAAAACAGAGGCCAACACAAAACCTACCAGACCAAAACAACAAATACATCAAAAATAAAAAAACAAAAACAGGTAAGAAACAACTAAAAAAACAGACAAGCCCTTCTTCAGCAGATCGACCAAACGGATACCAGCAGACAAAGACAACCCCTAGGAGAAATACGCAACCCAAGAAACTGCTCCCAAAACTGCGGAACCGCCCAACTGAAATGGAAACCCAAGCCCCAAACTAAACTCAAAAATCAACCTGCCCTCCAGCTGAGAGACACCAAACTCGCCCCCACACCACCGATGCCCCGAAACCGGCCAATACCACTAGCCGGTTTCAACAGCACCAGAACCCCCTCGGACCAAACTACAGAGAATCAGGGAGAAGGGAACTCAAAAGGTGCCAATACTCCGGCCGCTCAAACACCACCATTGCGAGCCGAAATCGCCACACCTAGCCCCCAGGACCACACCACGCCCTGCTCCGCTGCAACTCTAAGGAGGCCGACGACTGTTGACATCATGGCACCGACAAGAAACAGCAAAAACACGACACCTTCCGCGACCATCTACGAAAGAAGACAAGAGGAGGGGCAAACCCAGGACTAAAGACGTGCGGCCAAGAGCCGACCGCCAGTTAGGTTTCGGCCGCCGCTGAGGAAGGCCCCAAAAAGATGAATTGAGGAGCAGACGGCGCGCAAAGGAAAGAGGAAAGGGGTAGAAAAATTAGGGCTTTTGTTTGAAAGCAGTTGTAAGCACCCATCTACACGCAATATTACTTATCAATATTGTACATTTATTAAATTTTCAATAACTTTGTATAAATATGACAATATTATGTAATGTGCATATCTACACATGATAGTGTGCAATTTATTTATCAAGATTGTGCATTTATTAAATTTTTTAATAAATTACATATTTGACTCATGAATTTAATTGCAATATAATCAAAAAATTTTAAATTGCAGATAAGACCCTCAAATTTATCTAATTCACAAAATCAAGCCTTACTCCCCACCAACAATCTTCCTTTCATCATTAACCCAATCCCAACCATAGTTGCTCCTTTACTCAACGTCGCATCCGGGTGTGGGTTGATGACAACCGAATCGAGCCTCACCGCGGCAGCCTGAAGCCTCACACCATCTCTGATCTGATTTTGATTGACTGATGATTGAAGTTGGTATTTATGATTCCAGTAGTGGTGTTCATTGATTTGGTTGTTTTTTTGATTCTGTAGGCGGAGAAGACGGGTGGTGGAGGAGAGATTGAGGAACTCGATGGCTACGGTGTAGCAGATTTCGACGCCTGCGAAGTCAGTCGAAAGGGGTTAATCGGCAGAGAAGATAGGTCATCGGCAACCTCCGTCGGAGAATGAGAGAGAGAGAGAGAGAGAGAGAGAGAGAGAGAAATAGAGATGACATCTTCAGAGATGACGAAGGTAGCTGCAACGGGCGACGGCGAGTGGCTGCGGGTGGCAGCGAGTAGTGGGGCTGACTAGTTTGCAACAGTGCCTGGAGTGTTTGTGTGTGTGAGTATGTGCTGCGTGAGATCTGAGTTGGTCGGAGGAGTGGCAGATGGTGGTGGTCGGCGAAGGCGGAGGCTGGCCGTTGACGTCGCCGATTTCTGGCTGCAGTCGGGGAGATAAAAATATGGGGTGTAATTGTAGTCTGTATATTTGTGTGTGTGTGTGTGTGTGTGTGTGTGTGTGAGAGAGAGAGAGAGAGAGAGAGAGAGAAAGAAAGGGGTAGGAGAAGGTTTAGTAGTGGGCCCATGTTGAATATTAGATGGGTATGTATAGACCAATTTGTCCCTATTGAGTGGTCAAATATGTAGATATGACCACAATGTGTATACTTATTTTCTATGTTGTCATTAATGATTAACCATTACTTATTAAAGTTTGACTTGATCATGGTCATTGATGTGATGGATCCAATGGTCCAAATCATTATTATTTCTTTCATTGTGCTTTATTCTAATTTGGGCACACTTCTACACACACACATACACACACATACACACATATACACACACACTAATATATTTGATATATTTACTATTAGAGGTAATTATTAAAATTAGCCTATATAGAATATTAAAATATGTTTTTAGATATTTTTTGTAAATCTATATATATATAAAAAAGTTTGTTTATTTTTTAAATAGTAACTATTTTCCTCCAAAAAAAATCTAATTACTATTTTTGGAAATTAATTTAACAATTATGGTATATATTAAATGATCAATTATGAAAATTGAGGCTCATTATCTAAGGAAGTAATTAAGCCATGTTATAAGATACCCTCAAATCATATGAATTAATTAATGTATGGTATAAAGTGGACTGATTTATTTTTGATATTGATGGTTGTTACTATGAAAAATAAATTAATCAATATATGTATAAAGTGAGCAAATTTATTTAGGTTATTTGATGACTGTTTTTTAGTAGAAAAATAGTTGAAAAAATAATCCATATACGGTGTACTTTTTTCTGTAATACACATGCTAATATATTAATTTTTAGGCGTGTATTTCAATTTTTATTTTAATTTTTGTATGAAATTAAAATAATAGAATTATCGTAACTCCGACAAAATAATATGAACGGATATTTTGATATAATTTGCGTGTATCGATGTTTTTTTATAGAAAAAACTCAGGTCAATTTTTTTTTTCATTTGTAGAATTATTGGGTCTCAATTTAATTCATTTTATGTTACGACATTTCAAATAATTTTTGTGTGAATTGCACTGTTCATTTTTTTTAGCATGATAATTAGTGTCAATTTTTTGGCATAAAAATCTTATGACTGATTGCTTTTACTCAACTTTTAAATTTTTTTATTTGAATATTTTATACAAAAATAAATTATTTTTGTTAATGAAACAATATAAGTTTTATATTTATACGTATTATTCACATAGGGTTTTAAATATTTGATAAAATTTTACCAATATAATTATTTTATAGAATCACGTTATAGTCAAATAAAATTTCTAAATAAAAATTTTGAAATGACACATATATTGAAACAAATATAATGTAATTTATTATTAGTTATGTGCAACGCATGAGTTGTGTACTAATTTTAAAAGTAGACATTTTTATGTAATTTTACGTAATTTAAATTTTATATGACATTTACAATAAATTAATATAGGTGCATTGTATTACATCTTGATTCCACGTTTTTAATTTTTAAATATTATATAATAAAAAAATTTAATTTATAAATACTAATGAATATCTTTTATCCGTGCATCGCACGGGATTTGTATTAGTATCATATAAAATAGTATAGATAATTTTAACTGTCTTTTTAAAAAATAGTATATAAAATTGTAAGTATATTTTCTAATAGAATAATTTAGTGTTTTGAACATATTTTGAGGAAATAACATATATTTTAATGTTTTTATTTATTCATGAGGTTGATAAAATTTATATAAAACCCAAACACTAACTTACGATAATCTTATTTTAAATCAATGTATCTTCTCAATTTTCATGATGCGGACAATTTTATTTTAATTAATACACTATAAACACATAACCCAATATATATTAACATATAAAGAGGGAATGATATTTGTTTGAAAAAATCAACTAAAAAATCAACAAAGAAAAAAAAAAAATCAATTCCCGCCTAAAATTTACAATAATAAGCAAGATTTTTGACAAAAAATTGAACAAGCCCGCCCACTATGCATTTCGAAATTTTTTGAAGATTATTTTCATTGTTTTCTGCCTGTATGCTCGCCAGT